GGAAAGGGGCGGTCGTGGGAGGCCAGAGGTGGGCAGGACCTGCGAGGGGGAAGCTCCTCCCCCGGCCGCACCTGCCCCAGCCGGCTGATTCGCTGGCGAACTAAGAAGATATTGGACGCCATGCTGCGTGCGCAGCGCCCCCTGTCCCGTAAATCTAATCGCGGCCCTCTGTCTCCTCCCGCGCACGCGCGCTCGTGGGGCAGGCGCCTCGTGCCACGCTTTCTACCGCGTGCGGCGGCCGCGCGCCGTCGCCCAGGGACGCGGAGACGCCGTGCGTGCGTACCCGGGTCTGCGCGTGCCCGCGCTGCGCCTGCGCAATACGCCGCTGCTGCCCCGCGTGAGACCTGTGACTGCATGCTGGGAGACCCCACCCTTCCCCGGAAAACTTTTTAAGTCTGGACTGACCGCTTTTGACCCAACTGGTTTTCGTTTCATCCATTTCCAGGCACATTTCTTAATTTTTAGATGATTTCTTAAAATAGTGACACAGATGAAGTATTAAAACCTTTGCAAGAGATTATTCCAACACAGATTTGCCTCGTACCAGTTTTGGCCTGTAATCTTATCAGAAGCAGAGCACTAGGCCTCTTCTCCAGGGTGCTGCCAGTTGAATTCTAACCACGAACCTTTTGATTAATTGTTGTGTACTGGCAAGTCAGACCCAATTTGGAGCTAACCCTCCAACAGGTTTTCAGAGAGGGAAAGTACTGAAGAGCAATAGTGTCTCTTTGGAGCCTAAGGTGCATCTGATACAGGCCATGGTCTTTGCAATCACTTGTTATGCATCAGAGAGTTGGACAATGACTAGGGAGGATAAAAGGTGAATTGATGCCTTTGAGCTGTGGTGCTGGAGAAGAGTATTTGGGGTACCATGGACTGCCAAGAAAACAAACAGATTCATCCTGGAAAGGGTCAAACCGGGCTGCTCCTTGGAGGCAAGGATTCTAAGGCTCCGTCTAACATACTTTGGACATGTTGCAAGGAGGGACAGGTCCTTGGGGAGGGACATCATGCTTGGTAGGGTGGAGGGACAGCGCAGAAGGGGAAGGCCCTCTATGAGGTGGATTGATTCAGTGGCCGGGGTAATCGGGTTGGGTGTATCAGAGACGGTGCGATTGGCACAGGACAGAGCAGAGTTTAGGGATGCGCTATGAGTCGCATGCGACTCGATGGCACATAACAACAACAACAAATAGCATGGAAGGAGATTGCGTATTTTTTTCCTTCGAGGAGCAGTTGGTGGATTTGAACCTCATATCTTTAGGGTGGCAACATTAAACTACCAAAGCAGACCTATGTCTAACATTGAGAAGAATGAGAAACCAAGAAACAGGTGTCTGAACAGAACAAGGGGACAGACAATGCATAAAGTCAGGAAAGATGTGCATCAGGGTTGCATCTTTTCTCCATACCTATTCAAATTTTATGTTTGAGAAGCTGGACTATATGAAGAAAAATAGTGGCATCAAGATTGGAAGAAGACTCATAAATAACCTGTATTATGCAGATGACACAACCTTGCTTGTTATGAAGAAGACTTGAAGCTCTTACTGAAGAAATTAAAAGGTTACAGCCCTCTGTATAAATTTCATGTCAATGTAAAGAAAATAAAAATCTTCACCACTAGGCCAATAGGCAATACACCAGAATATATGGAGAAAATATTGAAGTTGTCAACATTCATTTTACTTGGATCCACAATGGTAGCAGCAGTCAATAAACCAAAAGATGTGTTGCATTGAGGAAATCTGCTGTGAAGTTCCTCTCCAGAGTTCTAAAGAGCAAGGATGTCAATTTAAAGACTAAGATGAGGTTGACCCAGGCCGCTTCCTATGTATTTGAAAGCTGGATAATGAGTAAAGAAGACTGAAGAAGAATTGATGGCCTGTGAGTTGTGGGGATGGCAAAGAGTATTGAATATACCATGGACTGCCAAAAGAACAAACTAACCTGTCTTGAAGGAAGTGTGACAAGACGTATGCATGGCAAAACTTCATCTCACTTACTTTGGGCATATTATCAGGAAGAACTAGTCCTTGGACAGAGACACCATGCTCAGAAAGGTGGAAGATCAGAGAAAGATAGGAAGACCTTCAAAAAGATGGATTGACACAGTGTCTATCACAATGGGCTTGAACAATACACATATTGATAATGGTGCAGGATAGAGGAAGGGTCAGATCTATTGTTCATAGCATCACTATGAGTCATAGTTGACACAGTGACAACTAACCATAACAAGGGAGCTTTGGTACATAGTGCTGTAAAGAGATCACTGCTAAGCCAAAGACCATGCCTTTCTGGCAGATTGAATACACCAGTGGCTTTGAGTCGAAAGATGGACAATCTCCTTTAATGCTATTTACAGACTCAGAAACCCAATGGAAGGTCAGCTATGAGTCAGTTACAACTTGAAGACAATGAGTTTGTACTCAGTACTCAAGAATTGGCAAGTTGGTTGGCATAGAAGTTACTGGGTGTGGATTTCATAACTGGTATTGGATGTTTGTAACCCAGAGAGTGCAGTGTATATTTGCATATCTGTGCTGATAGGAAAAAATCTTATTCTTTCTATAGCTCCCATTCCTCAGTCTCTAGCTCATTCTATGTGTTGTGTTCAGTTCCTGATTGGTGTCCCAGGGAAGTGGAAATGGCTTGTGTGCTCAGCTGCTAATTGAAAGATTGGAGGCTCAAGTTCAACCAGAAGAAAAACCTGTCTAGCTACTTCAAAAAAAAACCAAAAAAACAAACGAGTCATCAGAAACCCTGAGGATACACAGTTCTCCTCTGACACACAAGGGGTTGCTATGAGCCAGAGTCCTTTCCAGGGGCTACTGCTTTTTCTTACTAAACAAGAAGGGATCACAGGTAACTCTCATTACTAAGTCAGTGCAGCAGTGACCATACATTGGGACCCAGAGTACCTGAGATGATTTTGAACAGGCCTCCCAGACTTCTTGCTTCCTTTTTCTTCCCCCTCCCTTCTTTTTAAAGCTTTATTTCTTCTTTTCAATGTTTTTCTCTATTCTCTTTAATCCACTCTTCTAAATTTTTAGGAGAAAGATGGGCAATATCGTCCCATGTGATTTACTGCTTCTAAAAACCTCCTAGAGGATCAGACTCAGAGTGGGCCCTGACTCAGTGGTACATAACAACAACAACAACCATTTTTTGAGGCCGTTTGCGTGGACACCTGGTAGTAAGACAGTGAATAGGAGTACTCTTTGTCCCAAAATCACAAAATTCAAATTTGACTCTTACTGTTATTTCAAAATGAAGCATACATTGATTGACAAGCTAGAAAGAAAATGCTGACGTTAGCATTTTAATGATTAAATTTAAAAATATGAAGCACATTATAATTTAATAATCCAGTTCTGACGTTTCTTATTTTTTAAAACTTATCAACAATCCTAGAAATTGTAATTGACCAGGCTCTTCCTCGGCTTCTGGGAAGCTTGGTTTTCTGTTGCCAATTTTTGCCTCATTTTTGTCTCCTACAGAGCAGCTGGTGGATTTGAACCATTTACTTTTGGGTTGGTAGCACAGTTCTTTACCATTAGGCCAGGCCACTAGAGCTCCAAAGAAATGAATATTTTCTTTAAATAAAGAATGTTACAGCTTTATGGCGTTTCTCTAACTCTTGCTAAGTCAGAATCAACTCATAGCTGAGCATCAAACTCAAGGAAGATTTCTGACCCTTATTTTCAGTGAAGCTGCTGATGCAATGAAAATGCACCTAGTGTGGGACTTGAACCTGCAACTCTGAGATTAAGAGTCTCATGCTGTACCAACTGAGCTAGCTATGCCTCTCATTTTCTATCTGCTGCTACTTCAAGTCCCCCGAAGTTTTTCCATAGTTTTTGCTTCCTGTCAGATGACCTTCAATGCTAATGTACACTTCTTGAACTTCAAGGAGTTCTTTCCCTTGACAGCTGTCCACTAATGATTTAAAGATAGAGCCCACTTGGGGCAAACAGAAGAACAGAATCTGCATCCTGGCCAGGACTCATGGCAGAGCTGAGTGGGCAGAACAAAGCAAGAGAGAGCTCCTGCTGCTATGATCAGTCCAGTGTGGGTACAGCCCTGCTCTGCCTGTGCCCAGCAGCTGGGCTCAGGGAAAGTCTACCTTCCTGAGGCAACAAGATCATTGTGAATTTGAAAAATTACCTAAACAGTAACATCTCACTGAAGGGAGGGACTGTTCAAACTCTGGGAAGATTCTTTAGATGCTGTATTGCATTGACTAGAACACTGGCTAGTTCTGATTTGCTCCTCAAATCCAAGAAAGAGCCAGAGGCTCAAGTATCTAATGTTCCTGGCTTCCACTTTACCAGGGCTGCTGTTGTAGATAATATTGATGATGCAAAATTGCTCCATCTTGATGAGGTTTTAGTATTATTGTATAATTATGCCTAAGTCACTGAAAGAATTTGCCAGCATTTCACTTTCTGTTTTCTGTTTATAAAACATGTACCAGGTTGTGGCATTTGGGATTTAGGAATTGACAAAAGGTCAAGAAGGTAGTGATTTTTAGAGATGGCCTGTCATTTACTGACTATATATAACATTTGTTTTGTTTTGTTTTTCTCAATTGGAATAAAAAATTGTGTCCTTTCAATTGGCAAGATGAGACCGTGAAACTCACTCTCAGCAAAAGATTTGTTCCTCCCCCCCCCCGAAAAGATAGAGGTTATTACTGACATAATCAAAACCCGGGAGTCTAACAACACAGCTTCACTGTTAACCACTAAATTATAGCAGTTGTTGTTATGTGCCCTCAATCTGACTACGACTCAGCAACTCTATGAACAATAGCCCTGAAACCTGCTCTATCCTGAGACAATCTCATTGTCTCTGACACACACATACCCTCATTACTCATTACTCCAGTTACTGTGTCAGTCCATCTCATCATTCAGGGTCTTTCTCTCCTGCGCTGACTCTACTCTTCCAAGCATCATGTCCATCTGCAAGGTCTGGTCCCTCCTGGTAACATACCCAAAGTATGTGAGATAGAGCTTCAAAATCCTTACCTTCAAGGAGCAAATTGCTTTCACTCTATCCAGGACAAATCTGTTTATTTCTCTTGGTGTTTCATGATATGTTCAATGCTCTTCTC